GGGAAGTAAGGTGGAGCTGGGTGCAAAGCTGGCAATTGAAAAGTTTAGGCCATTGTAAGCTTTTCTGAGAATATGTTGTATATGTATATCAAAACTTTTTGTCCAAGGATCTGTGGCTGACAGAAGGTTTGCTCTCTGTCAAGGGCTGCAGTTCCCGCCACTGCCGCTGGCTGGGGGAATATTTCTTTCTTAATTAAGAAAAGTTATTTCGACTAATTGTAAATTCTGCGTTGTCCAAAGAATGCGAAATGGATGCGCAAGTAATAATACAACACATAGCGATGGGCAAAAATCAAATAGCATTGGTCAATAAAGCAGTGTAGCAGGAAATGTGTGAAGTTTTTCCCACTGAGGAATAGGAATATTATGTAAAAAGTAAAACGTTACAACTGATGATGCCAACTTGCCTGTGAAATGAGCTGGAGCATCAAAGGGCTTACTATGAGCCGCTGCGTGTGAGGAGGATGTGCAGGGCGGATCATAATTTCGGAAGAAATGAAGAACTGGCGGGATTCTGTCAGCTACTACACATGATATGAGAACTCTGAAAACAATGGCATACTGACATTATGATTGTTCAAGGAATTGTACAGGTATTGATGGACATTGCATTTGTGCGACATTTGCATGCAAGTGTACACAAAATAGGAAACTCACTTTGGATGATCAATGGAATCCATTTTAGCCTCTTCTCCAAAAAAATCTTTCAGAAATGCCTCCAGTTTGTCTGTCTTGTAAGGTCTGGTTCCCTCAAATACTTCATCTTTCATGTTAAAGTAGAGTTTCCGACATTCTTGCAAGCAATACCCTGAATTTGACAGTAGTTGTTACAGAAAAGATATGTATTCTGTAATAACATTGGAAAAAATATCTTCCACATTTTTGTAAAGAGGCACACACAAAAAAACACCATTTTTTTCCCATAAAGCCCTGTCCAAAGCTATCAAATTTATTTGGCATAAATATGTGGCACGGTTGCCACCAGTACTTGTGCCAGTGATTCAATCTAATATCTCACCCTTAGAAAGGGCAGGAGAAATGGTGCTGCCAATGATCAATTAAACTTACTCACCTTTAGCAATGGCAAGATAATGGATGCCACCAGTAAGTGTACCAATGATCCAATCTAATATCTCACCCTTAGCAAGAGCAGGTCCAATGGTACCACTAATGATCAAATAACTCACCTTTAGCAATGGCAAGAGCAAGGATGCCACCAGTAAATGTACCAAAGATCCAATCTAATATTTCACCCTTAGCAAGAGCAGGTCCAATGGTGCCACTAATGATCAAATAACTCACCTTTAGCAATGGCAAGAGCAAGGATGCCACCAGTACTTGTACCAACTATCCAATCAAATAACTCAGCAATTGGACGTCCAGCAGCCTTTTCCACAGCCATCAAAATCTGCACTAAGATCAAACCTCTGACGCCACCTCCATCTAGGCACAGTACAGTATCCTTCTTACGCTCCAAAGGTCTGCTACCATCAGCAGCGTCAGACATTCCTTCTTGGATTTTGTCAGTTAACATGTCAATATATTCTTCAAAGACTAAAATAATGGAAGGTTTATTATTAAGAACAGTAATTTGTTTTCAAATTTAAATATGTTTATGAAAACCAACTGCTGTATCACAGAATCAAACATATAGAAAACAATAATGGGAAAAATTGAGCTGAGTTATAAAAGATTGACAATAGATCTCCAAGGTTCAGCACACAAGCAGTGTCTACCTCAATGGAAATAAGTCTTTTGGCTTTCTTGAATTATCCATTGAATTTTTGCTAATATTGTGTTTTTTTTTTGTTTCTTTTTTTGTTCTTGTTTTATATATGATTTGAAATTTCCTGAAACAAATTCATTCATTCATACCAGCAGTTAAGCTAACTGAGCTAAGCTGCTCACAGAATGTAGAAACCTACCTTTGTGGCACTGATTTTCGATGATATCTTGTTTAACTGGTGCTTTGCCATCGTATGAACCATTGTAAGCACATCCTTTGCTGCAACCTTTCATGGACTGAGGGCAGCGTTTAGCACCGGCAGAGTGTAAAGAGCACAGAATTTCCCCTGATTTATAAATTGGATTGAACGACTGTGCCGCTGCTAGGTGGCGAGGTGTTTCACCAGATTCATTAACAACATTCAGTTGTGCTCCAAATACTATCAATGCATAGATCATGTCGACTGAACCTGCCTGTCATCAAATTAATAATAAAAAATTCAATTAAAATCAATTACCATCATTATCCTCATCAATATAATTGTCATCCTCATCATGATGACGACGAATATATTATCATCGTCATCATCATCATGATTGTTGTTGTATTCCTCCTGCTCGTATAATTTATCGTAGCCATCATTGCCATTGTCATTAATATTGTTGTCATTGTCAAGGTCATCATCATCACCACCACCATCATTTTCATTATTTTCGGGCACAAAACGAACTTGTATTTGCACTATAAATATTATTACTATTATTATTATTATTAATCATTATCATTATTATTATAATTGTTATTAATTATTACCATTATTATTAATACATGTACAAGCTGGTAATGAATCTACCTTTACCTTAACTGCTGTATGTAGAGGAGAGTCACCATTCAACGCTTTGATGTTGGGATCAGCTCCTGCGCACAAGAAGGTCATTAGGCATGAAAATCGTTGTCGTCTCACCATAATATGCAATGCAGTGTCGCCGGTTTTGCTGACGGCATTAATTTCACAATCATGCTTCAAGACCAGGTTTATAAATGTGCAATCCTTTGCCCAGTGTAGGGGTGTTCCACCATGTTTATTGTCTCGAACATGTCCTTGGTTGGGATTGGCTTTGAAAATTGCTTCAGATGTACTTGAATAAAAAAAAACAACATGGAAATTTTATCGTGACTCTAATGTCTATATTATAAACATTTTACTGCAAGCAGAATACCTCAACCAGCTATAACAATTGTTTTTTAAATAAATAAATAAAATTACCATGTGTGCACTAAACCATGGCGACCTTTTAACCTGGTGAATTGGTTAGTACACCTGAAGATAATCCTTATACCTTTTCTAAAGAATGCAATGTGTTAATTAACATGCATATTGGCCAACTTTCACATAAGAACCTCAAAAATGATGGCATGTTATACATGCATCCACCCCTCAAGCTGAAGCAAAAGGAGAGCAGTGATGGGAATTGAAGTGGGTACCAAAGGTTATGTGTTGATCTTCAGCATGCAACACACACAAGAAGATACCAGACAGAGTGATGCTGCTCAATTCCATACCTTAACTGCTTATTTTTAAAAAGGTGGTGGATAGGGTATCCAAGGTTATCTGCTACATCTACCGTCGCCTCATTTGTCAGCAGGACCTCAAAGCTGTAGAAGTTTCCTGTTTTACATGCAACCAGCAATGGCGTTTCATTTTCATTGTTAGCTTGGTTTATACCTCTCTTGCTGTATGTCAGTAAAATCTAAACAAAGACAAAAATGAAACTGAGAAAGAACCAAGAGTCTAGCATAGTTTAGGAATCCAAGATTCATATTACTTCATCCTTATCCAAATACATACGTTATATTTGTCTCCATGTCTTTTTGTTAATCTTCACCTTCAACATGGTTTTACAATGTTTAATGGCCTTTGTTAAGTCAACTTGAGAAATTAGATGTAAAGCAGCATAGCTTTTATACTATATTTAATTATAATTAGTGGCCTTTGTAATTCATGATTCATATTACTTCATCCTATGCAAATACACATGTTATTGTCACATGATGATGTTTGATGACATCATGGAGTTGTTGTTGAATAAATGAACATGTTGTTCCAAATGTCTGTCTGACTGCTTTTAGTTTGTAAGTCATAAAACACACTACCAGGACATGGTGGCAGTGGTCAACACAGTAAATAAAAGAATAAAAAGTTATAGAAGAGACTGGAATCAGGCACGTTGCATAAAAACCGAAGGTAATTAGTTAAAACCTTGAAAAAGTAGGCTGGATAACTGAAAGCCGATCACGAGGTGAGTGCATCTTCAGCTAGCGGACAAACAGTACAGGCACGCTGGAAGATGGCCAAGTTTTACCCTCCAGAAAAATTCGACTACAGCAAGCCTAATGAATGGCTGCATTGGAAAGGGAATTTTGGACGGTTTCGACTAACGACGAAACTACATAAGGAGGATAACGATATCCAAATATCGTCATTAATCTATGCCATGGGGCAAGAAGCAGATAAGATTTACAGATCTTTCGCTATTCCAGATGATCAAAGCCCAAAGTTTGACACTGTTTTGAAGAAATAAACGATTATTTTACACCCAAGGTGAATTTATTTCATGAAGAGCTAAAGTTTGACAATAGACGACAACTAGAGGGTGAGTCAATTGAATCCTTTATCAGAGATTTATATCACTTGAGCGAACGTTGCCAATTTAATGATAAGGAGCGCCGAATTAAAACTAGATTTGTGAATGGTCTGTTGGATAAGAGACTGGCTATGGAGCTGCAACTAAAAGATTTGACATTGGATCAAACAATCCAAAAAGCGCAGCATCACGAGCTGATTAAATTGCAGAATAAGCAAGCAGAAGAAACAAATAAATCCAAGCTGGATGCTGTACACAATTTTCGTCCCACTGCTACAAAATGGACTAGAAGGCCCAATTCAGCGTTAAGCTGGGAAATATTGGTACAGGTAATACCTATTTGAGAGTACATGTGGTTGAGGGAAGCTGTGACAGTCTCCTTAGTAGAAATGCATCTGTAAAGTTGGGTCTGATCAAAATTAATAATGAACAGATTACTGAAGTAGCTAATAATATCATGTTAACTCACGTAAATAACAATTGTAAAACGGAATCAAAAGTATGTCAATCTGCGGAGAAATTGAAGATGCTTAACTTACCGGTCAGTCCAAAAGCTTCGGAAGAGTTATACACAGATGGTGTATATAAAAGTAAAACAATAGACATACAACTCAATGATAATGCTATTCCATATTCGGTTAATACTCCACATAGAATCCCATACCCTTTAATTAAAGATGTGGAAGCTGAGTTAAATTTAATGGAGTCTGAACATAAAATTCGTAAGGTCACTGAACTGACAGAGTGGTGTAGTCCCACGATTCCAGTTAACCGGAAAGATACAAAAAACGGCAAGGCGCGTATACGCATATGTGGGGGCTATCGTAAACTAAATAAACAAATTAAACGCGAGCAGTACACGATGCCAACCACGGACTCTGGTCTTACTAAAATGACAGACTGTACTGTATTCAGTACATTAGATTTTAGTGGATGTTTCCATCAATTTCATCTTTCCGAGAAATGTCAGTTATTAACTACGTTCATGACCCCTTTTGGTAGATACTGCTACGCGGTTACCCAATGGTGTGTCACTAGCACCTGAAATATGCCAACGCGAGATGTCAAATTTAATTATGGATATTCCACAGTGTGATGTTTTCATGGATGATGTGATTATTGGTGGTAAAAATGTTGAAGACCATGATAGGGTTTTGTCTAAGGTGCTTAACAGAGTCCATGCAGTAGGAATGAAACTAAATTTAGACAAATGTTCTTTTCGAAAGCCGGAAGTAGAATTTGTGGGTCAAATAGTTGGAAAAGAGGGCGCAAGACCTAACCCTAATCGCGTCACTGCAATCTTAAATATGGAACCACCGGAAAATGAGAGCGAATTGCGTACCTTTCTAGGAGGTGTTAATTACTTAGGTCGTTTTTTAAAGGAGTACAGTTTGGAGATGGGACCAAGCTCAGATTAAGGCATTTGAGGATGTCAAGAAAGCATTATCAGAAACTACCTACAATGGTAAGTGCAGATGCTTCCTCCTACGGCATTGGAGGAGCAATATTTCAAATGCATGACAATGATTGGTATCCTGTTGCGTATGTCTCTAGGACTCTAACGGAAGCAGAAAAGCGCTACGCGCAAATTGAAAGAGAATGTCTTGCAGCGGTTTGGACATGTGAGCGTTTAGATAGATATTTCATTGGATTAGAATCATTCAAGTTGCAGAGTGATCACAAACCGCTGATTCCGTTGTTTAATGATAAGGATATTGACAAAGTGCCAATCAGATGTCAAAGATTATTGCTGCGACTTATGAGATTTAATGCTATTGCAGAGCACAAGCCTGGTAAAGATTTGGTAGTGACAGACCTTTTGTCGAGAAAACCACTTAAAAATGTGAATGATAGTGATAAGTGTCAGTTACAAGTAATTGAATATCATGTTGAGCATGTAATGTCTGTAGTCCCAATTACATCAAATCGTATGGATCAAATACGAGATATGACATCTAAAGACGTAGAGCTATTGCTTGTTATTAATTATACACTTAATGGTTGGCCAAAATATTATCTTGACATTCCTGATCATGTAAAACGTTTTCATGAGGCTCAAGGTAGCTTGTCAGTACAGGATGGTTTATTATTGTATGGAGATAGAATAGTGATTCCAAGAGGGTTAAAGGGTGATATCCTTCATAAGATACATCAAGGCCACTTTGGCATTAACAAATGTAGGGAAAGGGCGAAAGCAACTATATGGTGGCCAGGTATTAATAACAGAATTAAACAAATGGTACACCACTGTGAACATTGCCAAATACATAAGCCGACTAATGTGAAACAACCCTTAATTACAACACCGTTACCAGATCGGCCATGGAAAAAGGTTGCCGCAGATATGTGCCAGTATGCTGGTAAACAACATCTTGTAATTATTGATTATTATACTAGATTTATGGAGATCATAAACATTCCCGAAAGTGTCACTGCAAAAAGAATCAATGAGATGAAGTCTATCTTTGCTAGATTTGGGGCAAACCCTAATAACAGATGGAGGTCCCCAATTTAGTAGTTATGAGTTCAAAGAATTTACTGAAGAGTTTGGGATAGAACACATCATGAATCGTGAGTAGTCCTCATTATCCACAATCTAACGGTATGGCAGAGTGGGCTGTACAAGCTGCAAAACGTATCTTAAAAACCAAAGATCCCATAATGTCATTAATGGCGCATCATGCCACACCTTGTGAATCCACAAGTTATACTCCTGCACAGCTCATGCTGGGAAGAGAGATTAAAACTACATTACCAGTGTTACCTAGTAAATTATACCCCAAGTTAATTGATCACAATGTTGTCAAGGGCAACAATGACAAAGCAAAAATGAAACAATCGACAAATTATAATAGATCAGCTAGGGATTTATCTAAACTTCAAGTGGGTGATAATGTGAGGATAAAGTTAAACCATGAATCCAAATGGAGTGAGCCAGGTAAAGTAGTAAGCTATGGTAGCACACCAAGCTCATACATTGTTAAGTATAAAGGTGCGATATACAGGCGTAATAGAAGGCATCTGTCAAAACCGAGTCACAATCCACAAGTGCCAGATCCCCATGATTTCATTCACGATGATTTTCATGATAAACCTCATAATCCAAATCAATCATCAGAAGTGTCAGTATCTGGAAATCAGTCCAATTCTAGTGTTCACAGAATGCAAACTAGATTGAGAAGTGGTGTTACAATTAACAAACCTATGAGATACAGAGAAGTTTAAGTTAAAACAGTTTAGTTAAAATTTCGTAAAAATTACGCTTAGTTGGACATCGTTCTGTCTTTGTTTTAAAAGGGGAAGATGTCACATGATGATGTTTGATGACATCATGGAGTTGTTGTTGAATAAATGAACGTGTTGTTCCAAATTTCTGTCTGACTGCTTTTAGTTTGTAAGTCATAAAACACACTACCAGGACAGTTATCATATGTTATGATTTGTCTCCATGGCTTTTTTTAAGCTTCACATTCAACATGGTATTACAATGTTTAATGGCCTTTGTTAAGTCAACTTGAGAAATTAGATGTAATGCAGCATATCTTTTATACTACAATTGACTATAGTGGCCTTTGTAATTCACAAGTCATATTATTTCATCTTACGCAAATGTGTATGTTATCATATGTTATGATTTGTCTCCATGGCTTTTGTTAAGCTTCACCTTCAACATGGTTTTACAAGGTTTAATGGCCTTTGAAAAATTGAGAAATTTGATGTTGTGCAGTGTAGCTTTATTACAATTGTTTATAAGTGTTGTATTGCCAGTAGAAATGCTATTAATTTACCTATTCACACGTTGACTGAATGCACACGCTTGAATGTTACCCCGATATGGACGAGTGTAGTCGTCCCTAGTGCCCTCAGTAACACCCCGTGGGACGAGTATACTCGACTATTTTTTCTTTGGATTTTGTTATCATTGCTTATTATTACCTCTGTTATACATTTGCTGTCACTCTGTAATCGTGCTGCATAATGGTACACATTATCACCATTGTCATCTGCAATATCAGTGAGGGCGTTGTTCAGCAACAGATCACGAAGAAGTCTGATGTTCTTTGTCTCAACTGCAAGGTGAGATGGAGTCTTTCCCAAAGTACAGACCTGGCTGTTGATATGCCTGAGAAATATCAAGGTATTTTAATACAGGTTGAATGCGATGAAGATATATTACTCCATTGAAATATTGTTAAATACATATACATGTATGCCGAAAGGTCCACCGATTAATCTCAGATAAGAAAGTATAATACGTGATTTTTCTCCCAGACAGTGGGAGGGGGAAAGGCCACCCACAAGGGTGGGGTGGGGGCATACATGCCAAGTTGGAGGTAGCTATAGTGTCTTGAGATTTAACAGGAAATAAACCCAATTGGCATGGGTCGAGGGCTCGCCTGGGGCCTAAATGTTTGGCTAAGATGCTCTCTGCATGGCCGGCGGAACCGGGGGGCCGGGGGGCCCAGGCCCTGTCTCTTATACACATCTAGATGTGTATAAGAGACAGGTTGAGGGCGTTTCATCAACCAATCACACGTACACGTTTACAATTTCCAGTTTCTTATTGGCCAGTGATTCAATCATCATATTGTTGGTATCCGGATCGGGATTTTCTCGCATGGACGCCCGGCAGCTAACGGTTAGCAGGATCCGGATCCTGCTAAGCGTTAGCTGCCGTGTGAGAACAAAGCCACTATCGTTTTGTGGGACCTTAGCGACAATATCTAAATGGCAGGGGTTAGCGGAAAGGTCCATTAAGTAAATCATTCATTGACCTTTCGAAACATTTTAAGATTGCGGACGTCAGTGTAACTGGTCTGTAAGCAGATGCTTCTCACGTTGGCAGGGGAGTAACTTGAATCTGGATCGTCATCAAATTTGATAACTGTCTCTTATACACATCTAGATGTGTATAAGAGACAGCCACATAGAGTCCCATACCCTTTGATTAAAGATGTGGAAGCTGAGTTAAATTATAATGGAGTCTGGACATAGAATTTGTAAGGTCACTGAACCGACAGAGTGGTGTAGTCCCATGATTCCAGTTAACCGGAAAGACACAAAAAACGGCAAGGCGTGTATACGCATATGCGGGGACTATCGTAAACTAGCACCTGTAATATGCCAATGCGAGATGTCAAATTTAATTATGGATGTACCACAGTGTGATGTTTTCATAGATGATGTGATTATTGGTGGTAAAAATGTTGAAGACCATGATAGGGTATTGTCTAAGGTGCTTAACAGAGTTCATGCAGTAGGAATGAAACTAAAAGCCGGAAGTAGAATTTGTGGGTCAAATAGTTGGAAAAGAGGGCATAAGACCTAACCCTAATCGCGTCACTGCAATCTTAAATATGGAACTACCTGAAAATGAGAGCGAATTGCGTACCTTTCTAAGAGGCGTTAATTACTTAGGTCATTATCTAAAGGCCAACTCAGACGGCGTTGGCCGACGCAGCCCGACCCGATTTATCGCCTTGGACAGTCTTAAGCCGTCGTGAGAAATATTAAACATGGTTAATATTCTACTACGCGACTGCACCCCGACGCACCCCATCGCGTCTGCGTTTAACTCACACAGGGCCGACGCGACAACAAATCGCGTCGGGCTGCGTCGTACGACGCTGTCTGAGTTGGCCTTAAAAGACCTGGCACAAATGAATGAATTACTCTGGCGATGGGACCAAGCTCAGATTAAGGCATTTGAGGATGTCAAGAAAGCATTATCGGAAACTACCTACAATGGTAAGTGCAGATGCTTCCTCCTACGGCATTGGAGGAGCAATATTTCAAATGCATGACAATGATTGGTATCCTGTTGCGTATGTCTCTAGGACTCTAACGAACGCGGAAAAGCACTACGCGCAAATTGAAAAAGAATGTCTTGCAGCGGTTTGGACATGTGAGCGTTTAGATAGATATTTCATTGGATTAGAATCATTCAAGTTGCAGAGTGATCACAAACTGCTGATTCCGTTGTTTAATGATAAGGATATTGACAAAGTTCCAATCAGATGTCAAAGATTATTGCTGCGAGATTTAATGCTATTGCAGAGCACAAGCCTGGTAAAGATTTGGTAGGGGCAGACCTTTTGTCGAGAAAACCACTTAAAAATGTGAATGATAGTGATAAGTGTCAGTTACAAGTAATTGAATATTATGTTGAGCATGTAATGTCTGTAGTCCCAATTACATCAAATCGTATGGATCAAATATGAGATATGACATCTAAAGACGTAGAGCTATTGCTTGTTATTAATTATACACTTAATGGTTTGCCAAAATATTATCGTGACATTCCTGATCACGTAAAACGTTTTCATGAGGCTCAAGGTAGCTTGTCAGTACAGGATGTTTTATTATTGTATGGAGATGGAATAGTGATTCCAAGAGGGTTAAGGGGTGATATCCTTCATAAGATACATCAAGGCCACTTTGGCATTAACAAATGTAGGGAAAGGGCGAAAGCAACTATATGGTGGCCAGGTATTAATAACAGAATTAAACAAATGGTACACCATTGTGAACATTGCCAAATACATAAGCCGACTGATGTTAAACAACCCTTAATTACAACACCGTTACCAGATCGGCCATGGAAAAAGGTTGCCGCAGATATGTGCCAGTATGCTGGTAAACAACATCTTGTAATTATTGATTATTATTCTAGATTTATGGAGATCATAAACATTCCCGAAAGTGTCACTGCAAAAAGAATCAATGAGATGAAGTCTATCTTTGCTAGATTTGGGGCAAACCCTAACAACAGATGGAGGTCCCCAATTTAGTAGCTATGAGTTCAAAGAATTTACTGGGCTGTACAAGCTGCAAAACGTATCTTAAAAACCAAAGATGACATAATGTCATTAATGGCGCATCATGCCACACCTTGTGAATCCACAGGTTATACTCCTGCACAGCTCATGCTGGGAAGAGAGATTAAAACTACATTACCAGTGTTACCTAGTAAATTATACCCTAAGTTAATTGATCACAATTTTGTCAAGGGCAACAATGACAAAGCAAAAATGAAACAATCGACAAATTATAATAGATCAGCTAGGGATTTATCTAAACTTAAAGTGGGTGATAATGTGAGGATAAAGTTAAACCATGAATCCAAATGGAGTGAGCCAGGTAAAGTAGTAAGCTATGGTAGCACACCAAGCTCATACATTGTTAAGCATAAAGGTGCGATATACAGGCGTAATAGAAGGCATCTGTCAAAACCGAGTCACAATCCACAAGTGCCAGATCCCCATGATTTCATTCACAATGATTTTCATGATAATCCTCATAATCCAAATCAATCATCAGAAGTGTCAGTATCTGGAAATCAGTCCAATTCTAGTGTTCAGAGAATGCAAACTAGATTGAGAAGTGGTGTTACAATTAACAAACCTATGAGATACAGAGAGGTTTAAGTTAAAACAGTTTAGTTAAAAGTTCGTAAAAATTACGCTTAGTTGGACATTGTTCTGTCTTTGTTTTAAAAGGGGAAGATGTCACATGATGATGTTTGATGACATCATGGAGTTGTTGTTGAATAAATGAACGTGTTGTTCCAAATTTCTGTCTGACTGCTTTTAGTTTGTAAGTAATAAAACACACTACCAGGACAGTTATCATATGTTATGATTTGTCTCCATGGCTTTTTGTTAAGCTTCACATTCAACATGGTATTACAATGTTTAATGACCTTTGTTAAGTCAACTTGAGAAATTAGATGTAATGCAGCATATCTTTTATACTACATTTGATTATAGTGGCCTTTGTAATTCACAAGTCATATTACTTCATCCTACGCAAATGTGTATGTTATCATATGTTATGAATTGTCTCCATGGCTTTTGTTAAGCTTCACCTTCAACATGGTTTTACAAGGTTTAATGGCCTTTGAAAAATTGAGAAATTAGATGTTGTGCAGTGTAGCTTTATTACAATTGTTTATAAGTGTAATGCCAGTAGAAATGCTATTAATTTACCTATTCACACGTTGACTGAATGCACACACTTGAATGTTACCCCGATTTGGACGAGTGTAGTCGTCCCTAGTGCCCTCAGTAACACCCCGTGGGACGAGTATACTCGACTATTTTTTCTTTGGATTTTGTTATCATTGCTTATTATTACCTCTGTTATACATTTGCTGTCACTCTGTAATCGTGCTGCATAATGGTACACATTATCACCATTGTCATCTGCAATATCAGTGAGGGCGTTGTTCAGCAACAGATCACGAAGAAGTCTGATGTTCTTTGTCTCAACTGCAAGGTGAGATGGAGTCTTTCCCAAAGTACAGACCTGGCTGTTGATATGCCTGAGAAATATCAAGGTATTTTAATACAGGTTGAATGCGATGAAGATATATTACTCCATTGAAATATTGTTAAATACATATACATGTATGCCGAAAGGTCCACCGATTAATCTCAGATAAGAAAGTATAATACATACTCCAAGTATTGAAATACACGC